GCTGAGGGCCGTCAGCAGCCAAGGGCAGGCGCCAGCTCTAGCTGCGCGTCCTGCCCGTGCCTCGCTGGGGTGTCGCGCTGGGCTGAAACGCAGCCGTGCAGAGCAGCCCCGCGTCCCCCGGCAGGCGAGCTGGGAAAACGCACGGAGAAAACCCGGGTGAATGTGGCCGTAGCGGGAGAATGTGCACTTCACCTGCACATCCTGCCAGGCAGGAAGGAAAGCATTTTCTCCTCTGGAAGCGTGCGCGTTGTGTTGAGCTGTTGCTCATGCTTATTCCCATAACGTCACTTGGCTATTTACTTGTTCAGCGACGGAACGCGCTTGCCGGCCGAGCCGCCGGGGCGCTTGGGAAGCGCAGGCAGCGGCCGGGAGCTTAGCGGGAAGTGAGCAGAGACCTGAGTCTCGCCCGGGCAGCGGCCGCTTCGCAGGCGCCGCCAGAAGAATCGCGGCCATTGTGGCAGCCGGGGCTCTGCTCTGAGAACGAGTCCTGGCTTCGTTACCAGCAGCGGGGAGTCTCCTGGGTCCCAGCTGGGAAAGGTCTGTGTTTGCAGGGCCCAGCTCCCATCTCCGCTGCCTCTGGTGGAATTTGGAGCAGGTAGCGTTGTGTTCAGTTATTACCTTGTGGAACTGTTAAAATCCTTCTCCCATCTGATGGTGAAAATCACTTTCCTGGAGTTGTCCATGTTGTTCTGGCTTAACAAATCCTAATCCCTGGGCTGGAGACGGTCAGAATTAAATTCTCTCCAGGCTTCCCATGGACCTCACAATCTATTCCAGTGCTTTGGGTCTGTGGGGTTGCCAAGCTGAGGGGTGCAAGTCGGAGTGCAAGGGTTTCATTAAAGACCCCAGTCCTGGCTGGGTCAGGGAAGAGATTTGTTAGCCCTTGGTAAGACAGATTTGTTGTGTTTCCTGAGCAGGAAGGGTCACAGAGTGATTCTGATTTAGGAGGGTAGATCCCTCTGGGACTGCTTGTGGGATAGGGAGCATAGACCGGGGATTGTCAGCCGCACTTTGGAAAGTATTAGGAAAATTGTTATCATACAACCAGAGGAGGCAGCAGCCGAGTAGTTTGGGGCAGGTGAGGCTCTGAAATGGGAACAGGTTGCAAGAGGTTACAGGTCAATGTTGCCCCTTGGAGGGCTTCCCTTCCCAAGACAGCAGTTCTGGAGTAAGTGCGGATGAGTTCAAGGCACAAAACCAATTCCAGAAAAAAATCCACATAGACAGGGCCTAAATATTTTCCTTCATTGTAGTCTCAGCAGGGCATCTTCATTCTTGAAAGAATACTGAGCCCGAATTCCCCCTTGTCCCTGCGGTGGGTCTGCGGTGCCACTGCGCGTGGTGCCAGGGCTGCAGAGGGACGGTCGCTGTCCCCATCGCGAGAAACCCAGCCCTGAAATCGAAATCCCAGCAGCAGAGGAGGAGTTGTCCCTCTGTGCTGATTTACGCAGTGTGCTTTAAAAAGTGATGGCAGGGATATGGAAAGAAACAGCTGTAACCTTGGAAGTGTGTATCTGCAGTAAGCGAGTGACATTGAAGGTGAGGTTGGCTGTCGGGGGACCAGTTCAGCGGCTCCGGGGTGACCGTCAGAGGAGCAGGAGTCGCAGGTGCTGCTGCAGTCACCTGGGCGAGCGGAGGACCCTGCCGGGTGCGCTGCGATGCCCCTGTCCAGCGGCCACGCGGTGCGCTCGTTATTGCTGCGGGTCTCCAGCAGCACGAGGCTCCGCTTTTTGTTCTCTGCTTGGCAGCCCGCTCCTGTTGAGCTGTCTGTGGACGAAGCCCTCCAGGTCTCGCTGTCTGGCGCGTTGGAAACGGAGGTTGTTGCTGCCGGCGCTTCATCTCTGCGTACGTGTTGGGGACTTGTATTCCCTCTCCCCAGGCACGGCGAAGGCCGAGTGTCCTCTCCGTGAGAGCAGTGTCCTTGGCCTCTGCGTCAGGAACCAGTTTATGGCATTAGCAGCGTAATTTTTTTTACTGTTAATATAAAAGGAAGTTTATGGGAACTGTGACGGGGGCTTGCAAACATCTTCCAGTAAATGGATTCCTG